TGGTTGGCACAGCATTGGGAACGTACTTAATGCTACTGAATTGTACACTGGGAAATGGGAAAAATGGTAACTTCAGAAAAACAGAAAACATTCCCTGAACGTAATTTTGGCCCCCAAGGAATCCATTGTCTTTGCTCCACTAGTCCTTTCAGCACTTTCTGCTTCTCTCAGATCCTCCATTTCTTCTTATTCACACTCCTCCGCGAGCCACAGCTTTGCCAAGGCTACAGCGAGGTCCTCTTCTGGTACGAACCGGCCTAAACCAGCCGGTACCTTCTGCAGAGAGCTGAGGGCCCTGCTCTCATTCCCCGGTGGCATGCTACAATAAAAGCATGCTGGAGGCTGGATTCTCTCATGCATGCAAACACTCATTAGCAAGCTGGCCTCAAACAAATAGCCTATCCAATAAACTAAGTACAGTTCCGGCCTCTGACCTTTGAGGCCATGTGACAGCATGTTGGATAAAGACGTGGCAATATTCTAGTGGCACGGTAGGAGTCAGGCTTTGAAACTCTCTGATTTGTGGCTATAAACAGAGCTTCAAAAAAAAAATTTAGGACACCATCCCAAAGAGCATAGGCTGTTGGAACCCAGTAAATTTATATTCGTTCCGCATGCAGGGCAGCGTGAGCTCCTTTATGATATTCTGGCCACCATACACATTTTAAACTTTCACTTGTTTCACCCAAGAAAACCCTTTCTAGCATCCATTATGCTAATCAGCAAAGCCTCTGGTGTTGATGGGAGATGACGGCGACCCAGAGAGCATGGCTTCTGCTCAGAGCCTTTCAGCTGGGACCCCAGCAGCCCCGAAGTGCGCGTTCCCATGAGGATTCTTCACGTGGTACCTCATCTCCCCCTGGACTGCAGCCCTCAGCGGAGCCTCCCTTCGGGGCTGCCAGAGGACATACATATATTTGGCACATACCTGTACTAGGAAATTATTCTGCACTTATCTGAAATTCACATTTAACTCTGTGTTCTGTAATTTTGTTTGCTAAGTTCGGCAACTCACACTCTACATAACATACTGACGAATTTTGAAATAAACTGCAGACCATATAACACATATCTTTTGTAAGGGGAAAGAAAAAGTCTTAAGTTAATATTTCCCTGATTTGATGGTGAACATTTCCAAGCCTGACTCTTCTCACGCCACCGAGCAGGAGCGGGTGTAACAATCAGCTACTTGTTTCCAGATCCACAGAAACCAAGCGGGGTGTTTCTGGCTCTCTCGTCAGCCCTTTATGTTCAGTCCTTCGACGACTAGGACGTCCCCACTAATGCTGAGATCAGAATTCAGCAAGGCAAGCCCACAAGGAGAGAAGGAAGGTCCTGACTCATGTGTGTGAGAGAGAAAGAGAGAGAGAGAGAGAGAGAGAAATGATATGGTCCCAGGATGCAGAAATGTGTCTTCCTGTCTCGCCCTGGAGAATGAGACTGACCTGTTTGCTTCTGGTGCACAGGAATTACAATGATCTAATATTCTAGGTTGTTCACATTAAAATCTTTTCCTCGCATTGAGGGATTTAGAATTTATTGATGGAGGGTGGGGAGGCAGAGGAATAATAAAGACAGGATAAGAGCACCTTATCCGGAAGGCTTGAGTCATCATTCTAAAATAAAATGGATTTAATTTTTGCCCCTAAATGAATTTTACTTTTTTCTAATGTTAATTTTTACCTTTGTTTGGGGTTCGGGGTGGGGAATGCTCAGGGCAAAAATAAAACATCGGCCCCCATTCCCATTCTTTAAGGATTTGAGGAAAGGAAAAGATAGGAGAGAAACCTTTTCATTTCTAGTTGGAGATTAGACTCCTCCCAAATACCCCAGAGAAAGTAAATGCTTTAAATAAAAAAAAAGCAGTACCCCCAGACCTGGCCCCCGTGTCTCAAGAGCTCCTGGGAAAGGTCACTGAGCAGGCCAGACCCTCTGCAGGGTGCCCGGAGGCCCAGCTCCTCCACCTCCCTCCCCGCAGCTGCCGCTTAATAAAGCTTAATAACAGGTGTGATTGCCATGGCAACCTCTGTAACACTTTCAAATAGATGGCCAATTATTATTCACTCATTTACTGTTTATTGTAGCGATGCCAATCACAATGAACTGCAGGAGGGTATTAATGGAGATGTGATCTGAGCAAGGGGCCGTCGGGGAATGGCATTGTGTGCCTCATTTGTTGGCATTGTCGGGGAATGGCATTGTGTGCCTCATTTGTTGGCATGGTGCGCTCGAGGTGGGTGGGTACACAGCTACTCCCTCTGGTCCCTGGGCACCCAGCACAGACCAAGTGCACAGGCAGCACACAGGCACAGAGGAACGACACGGCCAAAAGGTCTTGCAGGACTCGCTCCCCTGCAGCAAGGTCCCGGCTCCCACGTCCCAGGACAGGCAGGTGGGCAGGGCATGCTCTGCCTCAGCAGGTGTTTTCAGCAATTTTATTATTTTTCACCCTTTCTTTTTGGGCCCCTTCCGAATTTCAGATTCTATGAACAAACACTGCCTCGTTAAACCTCAGCCAAGCTCTCTGGAGAAGGAGCACCAGCCCATTTCCCCTTTAGGGAGGCCTGCTCAGCTGGTGTCTCAGGAAGCCAGGAGGAGAAAACACAGGTAATGCTCCACCTTTTATTAAAACTCCTCCTTTGGTTAAAACTGTCCGCCCTGCTCCAGGGCCTGCCCCTCCCATCCGGCAACATAAACACTCCTTCGCATCCCCCTGGGGAGGAGAGACACGTCAGGATGATTTATTGAGATGTTAATTTGAGTTTTATTCTGGAAGCAATTTTCTCTTCCTCTTCAAGAAGGTAACCAGCCATTTGCTGAAGCAGAAGTTACAGGCAGACAGCTTCCACCCTTGGCTTCCCGGATGGATTATGCCCGGCCTTCCCAGAGAGGAAGAAAGGCTTCCTGACTACAGGGAGGGGGGCGCTGGTCTGTGCAGAGGGGCTTGGAGGACGCAGCTTATTGCTGTAGGCTGGCAGCCTCGGCAAGATTCCCTTCCTATTCCCAGAGCTGGTAGCAAAGTAACAGAACCGGCCGCCCTGCACAGCTCTCGCAGACAGAACTAAGTGATATGTCCCCTACTTCACCTCGATTCTGACACTAGGTACCCGGGATCAGCGCGGCCCCCACAGGTGAGGGGTTCAGTCCCACAGTCTGCCCCCCACCTCGGATGCCGGCCGTAGGCCCTGGGCTGCCACTTGACTGGCTGCAAGTCAGGGGCCCCCGTGACCCCCTCCGCAGGTCTGGCCATCTGCCATTCCGGCTCACAAAGCTCAAAGGAACACTTAGTTACACTTACCGTTTCCTGTAGAGGACATGGCAACGCTGTAGGTAACAGCCACCTGAACAGGACCCAGGGCTGGTCTGCAGGGCCCCAAGTACAGGAGCTTCCGCCTCCAGGGACTGGGGTGCACCCCGCTCCTGGCTCATGGTACTGACTTGGAAACTCTGTTGGTGGAGGCCTCATTGCCCAGGTATGTCAATCATTAAGTCAATCAACGGCTCCTCTTCTCTCCCGGGAGGCGGGGGCGGGGCTGAAATCTGACCCTTTAATTGTGCCTTTTTGGTCCCCATCTGATGACCAGTCCCCATCCGGCCTGGGTGCCCTGCTACCAGTCACCTCACCAGCACACAAAAGACACATCTGCCACCCAGGACATTCTGCAGAGATTAGAAGCTCCGTCAGGAACCAGGGTCAAAGACAGATATACACGTACCGTGTCACAGAGGTCGATGCCTGTTTGTCGAGGGACAGGCTGATGGATCGGGTGTCAGGACGCCGCGGCAGCGCCCTCCCGGGGCTGATGGGTCCCAGGAAGGAGGACCTGAACTAGGTCCCTGGACGCTGCCTACCCATCCTCAGCACCCAGAAACAGAACCAGGCAGCACCACTATTCTGCGTCTCGATGGGCATCCTCAAGGCGCCATCCTGGGTGAGTCGCTCAAACTCTAGGCTTATCTTCAGCAGAAACATGGAAATGGTAATACTCTGCGTAAGTCACAGGGTTTCATGGGGACTTCGTGGGATGATGGGCATGAAACACTTTGTAAACTGGAGAGCCCCACACCAATGTGAGGCTTTGCCACGTAGACGAGCACATGCATGCCCACATACCCACGTCCACAGGCACCCCTGCTCCAGAGGGAAACTAGCGTGATGGCGCAGCCCCTGCGAAATCACCCACGGGGCCTCCCTGCGCCCCCCATCCTCCCTGAACTCTTACCCACTTAGACGGGCTGAGTTCAGGAAGACTGAGGAGCGGCTGAAGAGCTTCGAGGAGAGGCACAGATGCTCAGCCCACACCTGTCCACTCTGCCCCACATTTGAGATAAAATAGCGCCTGCTCCACCTGCACAGAATTGCACTTCATGCTGGGAATCCAAAGACTAGCCAGCCATCCCCTGCCTCTGAGGAGCGCAGCAAGGCGCTGCAGAAGCAAGGCCAGGCTGCGAGGCGCAGCGGGCACATTCGGGAGGCTGCGGGTAGCCTGGCCAAGCACTGGAGGCCAACTGGGCACAAAGGAGTAAAGGCAGGGATCCCACTCCGAGGGGCCCTGCGGCCACGCTGAGTCGGGACTTCATCCTGTGCGCCCCAGGGAGCCACTAAAGGTGTGGGGGAGGGGAGGGGCTTGGGCTGAGCAGCCACCCTTCCCTTTTCTAGGGCCTTTCTTTCCTCTTCAAAATCGCTAACAGTCATGTAAGTGTCCTAAAATCAATGAAAGCGCATAAATAACAGAAAGGAAACTGCCCGAATTTCTCCCACCCCATTCCCCTTACTCCTGTACACCAGTGGTTCTCAAGTGTGGTCCACGAAACAACGACATTAGCATCACCTGGGAGCCTGTCAGAAATGCAAGCCGAGTGGAGTTCCTAACACTCTACTGCGTATTTGGAAGTCGCTAGGAGAGCAGACCTTAAACTCCTAATCACAAGAAAGTTTGTAACTATCATGGTGATGGAAGTTAACTAGACTTACTACAGTGATCATTTTGCAATATATATGTATCAGTCATTACGTCGTACACCTGCCATGCATATAATATTCTTTGTCAATTTTATATCAAAAATATTGAAAAAGAAAGAAAGAAAGAAAGAAAGAAAGAAAGGCAATCTCCTACAAGCCCTTCAGGAGATTCTGATGCTTATTAAGACTGAGAAACCGTGCCCCACCCCCGATAATTTTTCCACACCTGTTTCCATGTTTATCAAACAAATGTGAGCATGTACACGCATTTATTTGCCACTGTTCGTACTTTTTTAAAAAATACATCATGCTGTTTACTAAGCAAATGGCTTCTCTTATATGGTGATATTCCTCCTAGTCAATAGGTATGCCATTTAACTCATTTTTTAAAAATATGTGTATAATTTTCCAGTGTATGGCAGTAGTAGAATTTATTCAACCATTTACTGTTGGATATTCGGGTTATTTACAATTATGTTCACACCTAAAATAATGCTACAATAGCCTTTCCCGTGTAGTACTGAATATGGGTGCTTTTATGTCCACAGGGTAGATTGCCGAAAGCCAGAACAAGGAATCAAAGGTTACGGTATTTTTAATTTCAAAAGATATTGCTAGCTTACTTTCCCCTAAACCTGCAACAACATCATGCGCTGTCAGTAAAATATAAGATGCCTGTTTCATCACATCCTCACCAGCACTTGATCTTGTAGCTCTTCAAATTGATAGTTTAGAAAGCTCACTATGGTGATTCTGCACACGATAGATTTGATCCAATGGAGGGAGGGGCAAAATGGGAGGCCAAGGGTCCAGGTGGAAGACTTTTGGGTTAGTCCAGTGAGAGATGCTGAAGGCCTGAACTAAGAAAGCAGCCGTGGGGACGGAGAGGAGGGGTCAGATCTACCTGCGCACTTCCACTAACTGGCTCATTAATCCACATAATAATCTGCATAAAAACCTGGAGTTTGTTGTTGAGACAGTGTGACTTACCTGCATGTCCTAGGATTGCTGATCACTTCCTAACCATCTACAGCCCATTGTAAACAACCTGCCCCACCCCAAACCCTCATCGCCTCAGTAGCCCATGAGCCCTTCCCAGCCTCAGCTGATGGGCAAGCATGGGACCTGAGAGAAACAGATCGTAGAGTGGCTAGTGACCTGTGGTCTGGGGGATAAAGAAGATCAGGTTCCTTCTGGGGTTTAAGCAAAGATACTCAGAGGAAAACTGCCATTGGTGGTAATGGATAATAGAGCAGAAAGTTTGTGCAAAGACAGGACTGGGGAGGCCATTGGCTCAAATAAATCAAAACTATAGATGAGTGGAAATGGGGGGTAAGCAGCATGAGCTGAGTGAACAGAGAGAGAACAGAGCAGGTGCACAGACAGAGAAGGGTCGAGATGCTGAGACAAGAACTGGGCTGCCCAAGGGAAAACCAGGAAGCAGCTCCCGGGCTACTGCGAACCCAGACTCACCTTCACTGACACTTCCCACGCGGCCTTGACGCACCATAGCCCTGCCCCGGGATGCCTCTGCAATGCCCGTCTTCTCAGTGACCCCTCCCCTCCCTCCACGCACACTTGAGTGTCCTTCTAGGAGTCTCTGCTCTGGCACAGCCACAGCTCTGGTGAGAACAAGGCCACAGAGTAGTTTGTGAGAATTAGAGGTTAGATTTACCAACTCTAAAGTTATTTGGCTTCAAACAAAATCTATGCAAAGAAAATAATAATACTTCAGCATATCATTTAGACAAGTGCTTTTTACCTACATTATGTACTTCAATCCTGACCCAGTGAGGAAATAGAAGTTCAGAGAAATTACATACCTTCCCCAAGAGCACACCTTTAATAGACGGCAGTGGGTGCAGAGTTACTGGAACCCTGGGCATCTGATTGCAAAGCCCACAAGTGTCCCACCCCACCTGCTGAGCTGGTACCCAGGCCATGGACACCAGCTGCCCTTTCCCACTTCACCCTCTTCTGGATCCCCTTTATCACCTGGCTGGGGTTCAAAAGCCACTTGCTCCCTGCGGCAGCTGCAGGCCGTGAGTCCGGTTCAGATGAAGGTCTTGGCAGACAGATCGGGGGGCCCACCTCATGATACACGTCTGGATCCTGTGATGTCGCTCTCAGGGGTTCGTCGGAAGACCCTTCTCACAAAGGGGGTTGCCCTCAAGGAGGCACTGGCACCGAAATCTCCATACCTTTCTGGTAAGGCCTTTCCTCAATTAGGTCTCTATAAAAACACGTCAATTTTAACTTTGGAGTGAGTCATTAGCCCCCACCAAGGCAGGAGCATGAACAGGTTTAAAAACTAAAAATAACTAACATTTATTGAGTGTTTATTAGGCCTCAGGCATTGTGCTAAGTTCTTCACAGAAATTCATTTAGAACTCCCAATAACCCTATGAAGTAAGTATTTTTGTCCTCGTGTCTTCGATAAGGAAACTGAAGTGAAGAGAGGTTAATTAACTTGCCCAGGGATGCTCGGCTGGTAGGGGCTGGTAGGAGCTGGAAGCCGAATTTGAACCCAGGCAGTCCACCTTCCCTAAACCTGTCGGATTAGCCAGATCATCTTAGAGTGCAGGCCCCGGAGGGCAACGGGCCCCGAGACAGGGAAGTCTGTGGAGGGTGGAGGGGGCGGCGGCCCCGCAGTGAGCCAGGAGCCGGGCCGGGGCCTTAGGGAGCATGGGGACAGGCCAAGGCCTGGGGTGGCCAGCTTGCAGGGAGGAGACATGATGCCAGGAGGAGAGACGGTGGGGAGGAAGGTGGCTCCACCAGGACGCAGAACAACGCTTCTTCCCAGGCTATTAGCTGGGGGCTGGCTGCCATCCCTCCCAGATTTCCCCTGTCCTGTGGCTGCCTGGGGCCTGGTCTAGGGCACAAACAGGTGCTATGTCTCCAGGTAAAGCCCAGAGGCAAAACGTGCCCTCTGATCCCCCCTCAGTCGCTGTCCCAGCTATTTCCCAGAGGGTCCCACTGAGGATTGATGGTTTTCACTGGGACTTTGCACAGCCTGGCACTTCCACCTGGTTTGGGCCCCGCCGCCCCCACCCCCTTCGGAAAAGTAGGCATTTAGTCATGTTATGGTGGCTACTCCAACTCCTGACGGTTCAGAGTGTCCCAAAGAGGACCATCAGCTCTGGGGCCGGGAAGACGTCGCCTCCAGCCCAGGCCTGTCACCAGGAGCTGTGGGACTCCCTAAGGCTCTGGAATTGTCCTGCCTCTTTCCTCAGTGGCTCTGCTGATGCCCCGGCCTGCTCTGAGTGGGGTCATGCCTGTGAGAATGCTCGGGCTTGGGAAAGCCCTTCTACGAGCAAGTAACAGGTGTCAAAATCCGGGATTTCTTCCTTCCTCAACCTGTCCTGGAGCTGCCTTGGCCAGGACCTCAGACCTCAGCTCCACAGGGCCCAGAATCCGGCGGCATGGTGCCAGCAAGCATCCCCCTCCTGGGCCTGAGCCCCAAAAGACACTCGCCCAGCGTGGCCAGGCTCCCAGCACAGGGGAGGGCTCTCCTTTGCCACGATTCCCACAGGACTCCCAGTCCTCCTGGTCCCACTGTCACCTGTGAAAGTCAGATCTGCTCCCTGGACTGTAGTCGCCTCCCGGCTGAACTGGGGCTGAGAGGGGTCGTGACAGGAGGCGCCCAGCCGCACGCCTGCCCTGGGAAGCAGAAGGAGCTCAGCGCACCACCACCTCGCAGTCCATTTTTCAAAGTCTGACGTCAATTTGCGGCCGTAGATTGGTTTCTGCTTCTCCATACTTTGTTTTCTTCTTTGTGATGAACGGTTATTGTCAAGCGGGCTTAGAAGAGCGATAGGCAGGCGGCTGGGGCTGGGCGGAGATGGCATAGGGCGGGCTTCTTGGTTGGGTTGTTGCTTACATTTCTTTTCTAGGGAAGAAAATGGAGTGGGAGGGACCTGAGGTCACGGCTGGGTCAGAGGAGATGGACGCCTGCTAATGCTGCAGCTGTCCGGCCCCTTCCCTCAGGCGGGGAGATGCTGAGACCTCTGCCCCTTCCTCTCCCCACAAGTACATGCCTGGCCTGGGGACAGGCACCATGTCACAGCTGCAGAGGCTGACGCTGTCATCTGCAGATAAATACAACCAAAACAGGCCCAGAAAATTATTTCCTCTTAATGGAAAAATTATCAGGCCCTGAGCAGCCTGATCTAAGGGCTTCTAAAAGAGCACAGAGAAATATACTTGCATCTTCTCGCAAGCAACTCTCTCCTCCCCACTGTTCCTCCGGGGAAGGCCCTGCAGAAACCATTCTCTCCCAGATTCCGTGCTGGGGCAGCTCACGAGGGTCTGTCGGGTTGGGAGACAATAGGATCTGAAAGCTCATGGCTTAGGTTCGCAGTTAGGTTTCTTAGCATCTTCAGAGGTATAAGCTTGAAAGGAGATTAGAAACCATCCTGTCCACCTCTCTCCTGTCCCAGATCATTAAAATGAGGCCTGGAGAGAAGAGACTTGCCAAAGGTCTGTGGTCACTTAGCAGCAAGACAAGAAATGAAGGCTTGTGATGTCCGTTTCCCTTCCCATTGCCTGAAACAGCCTGGCCAGTCCTTGCGGCTCGGAGGCCCCTTGTATCTCTCCGTCAAACACACACACCCATGGGCCCCAGGGCACGGACCGTGGCAGGCCCGGGTCTTACTAAAGCTGGTGCTCATGGTCCGTTGTACGGCTTGTGCACAGTTCTTCCTCCCTTCACACTCCGCCTCGGCTTGCACGCAGTCTGCAGTCAGCACCTCCTGCCCACTGACTCGCTCTGACTAATGGGATGTTAGTGGGTGTTCCCGTGCAGATTTCATGTGCTTGTGTGGTTTGGCTGGGTGGTCTGTGCATGTGCAATTGCCGTAAAGCTGTCCACTGGGATTAGAGGCACATGGTACAGACCTGAACAGAGTCCTTGGCCCAAGGCAGAGCCACCACCCTCGACAACAGGACTGTGAGTGAGAAATACAAGAGCTGTTGAAACTCCATAGTTCCTCAGCAGTATCAGAGCAGAAATCTGACTAGTACAGCCCCCAGCCCTCCCCTCAAGGCTGCGCCTGACCCAGGTTTCTGCCTCTCTGGTCACTGGGGACCTCGTCCCTGTTGCAGAGAAGCAGCGACGAAGGGCCCAGAGACACTGATCAGGTCGAGCGAGAGGCGGCCCCGCCTCTGTGCAGCAGCGTCCGCAGGCCCTCGCTGTAGGGGCTGCACGTGGCCCCGGTCTCCCTGCTCCTTCTCTCCTGGGTCTGCCACGGCAGGACACCCACCACATGTGCCAGGAGGGCTACCTGCTTGGCAAACAACCAGAGTGTCAGTGGCCTGCCTGCAGGTTTATCGCTTAGTCGGGCCACAGTCTCGACCCACAGGAGAGGTGGGAGGCGAGGCTCAGCTCCCCACAGCCATTCAGAGACTGCAGATCCATCCACCTAATGTCTTTATCCTTCTTTGAAGCCCTGGGGTCCTCCACTGGGTCCACTCCATCCAGCCGGGTGTTGAGCAACCGAGATAATGCAGAAGACCTCTTAGGGGATGTTAGGGGCTGGGGGCTGGAAGTAGAGTGCATCTCTCCCACCCACATTTCACTGGTCAGGACTCAGTTAAGTGGCCCCTTTCATCTGCAAAGGAGTCAGGGGAGGGTAGAAAATAGTTTAACTGTGTGCCAGGACTGAGAAGAGAAATAGGTTTTGGTGAGCAGCCAGTCCTGGCCTCGGTTACAATGTGACTCTGTCTCTGTCCCCACCAGACTGGTCCCTTCTCTCTGCCCGAGGAAGATCGCTCCCTGTAAAAATTCCAAGTGGCTATCCTCCCAGGGTCTCATGGGATTCCTCTAGCGCCCTGCAGTTGAGACGCCTCTCTTCCAGCCCCCTGGGCCTCCATCATCTCAGGCGCACTTTGTGCCTGGACTTGTCAAACTGACCCGGATGGCCTGCCTGCCTCTGGCTACCTTCTCCCTTAGGAAACCTCTTTTTGGGTCCACCCATCTCGTCTCCTGCTACAGACACCACCGCGGCACCTAAGCTTGGCCACGCCTGTGAGATACTGTCCACTGGCCAGACCCAGAGCCAGAGCTTGCATTTAATCAGAAAATTGGAATCTATTTTGAGTTACTGACCCAGGGAGTAATACTACAATGCAGGTAGGGTTTAGGAGGAGTCGTTCAGTGGAGTGGATTAGGGGGGACTGACAGGGACTGAGACTGGGGAGAGGAGAACAGTCAGGAGACAGTGTCATGGTCTAGGGGGAGGATGGCAAGGGCCGAACCAGAGCCAGCAGAGTGGGCCGAGGAGAGGCAGGTGGTGGCTGGGGAGGCTGACCTAGGCGGAGGCGCATCTGGTTGGGGAGGGAGCAGGAGGGAGGGGGCAGCGCCCTGTCCCAGGTGTCTGGATCTGGGCTGGCGTGCACTTCCCGGCGCCTCTGATCACCTAAACCCACCAGCTGGCCTCCCTCAGCTCAGCGCCGCCAAGTAGGCAAGACTGCCCGGCCCTTCCCATCTACTTGGAAGGAATGTGGAGTTACATTTAATTAAAAGTATCTACACATACACAGAAACAAGATTAATTAAGTCTCTTTTACCCAGGAGCCCTTTCTTTGTGTTCACTTAAATGAGGTTTTAAATGTTGTCTCAATGTTATATCTGGCCGAGATTTCTCCAGACAACACTTTGCATGGGTCCGAGGCTCCCGCGTAGCTGTCTGGAAATTGCTTAGTGATGAGAACAGCCCAAGGACACCGTCTCCACTCTCGGTTAGCTGAGCGCCAGGCTGGCGGGGAGCTGGGGGCACAGGCAGTGGGGTTTTATAATGAAACGGAGGGAAGTTCTCTCAGACAAGAGCTTCCTCGAAGGCCACCTCTTGATGCAGAACAGGTGGGCTGGGGTGGTCTTTTGAGTCATGCTTATGGAGGGCTCACCTGATCACAGTTGTTCTGAATGCAAACACAGCCTCTTGGAGCCCAGTGCGTGGCACCACCTCCAGGCAAGATGTGTCCTGCAGTCGGCGTTTTGTTGGAAGAGCCCCACATGGGGGCTGGGAGCCTGGCTGAGAAAATAGGAAGCACCCACCCACCTTCGCCACCCCTTAGGTCTCTTACCTTTACCGGAGTGTCTTTCCTTCAAACAAATCTCCTGGAAAATTTATCCAACTGGGCCATTTCCAGCAGGTACCAGTGAGAAGCAAGACGAGGGGTGCACCGCGGGCATTTACTCTCACATGGAGGCAAGCGTGGGAACCCAGTCCGAGCCCGACGGCTGGACGGGGTATAGACGGGGCAGGTGCAGCCACCGTCCCTTCGTCAGGCCATCAGCAGGCGTGTGACCAGCCCCGAGGTCAGCCGATGCCCGTGAGCCCCCAAGCCTTGAGGAGCTCTGCACGTAGCCTGACCACCCTCCTTTGGGTTCTAGCATGAGAACAGGGGGGATTCTCTCACTGGGTCACATGGTGCCCGTGGTAGTGGGAACTTTAGATACTCACTTTTATCTGTGTTGCCCAGACTTGGGTTCTTATTAATTTGATAAGCAGCATTGGATACTGAACGAAGTGTGAGGAATCGTGTCAGATGCTGAAGTCAGAAGGCCCAGTGAGACCAAGGCCTGGCTCCTGGCCGCTTACAGTCTCCAGGAAAGAAGGCGAGTGGCCAGCATCAGGGGCAGGGTCAGTACTGGAAAAGGCCCCCCATCTCGTACACTGCGGGAACAGAGGGGAGGCGCGTCTTGGAGAGCTTTCAGGAAAAGCCTTACGAGGTGAGGGGGGATAGTGTGGAGAAGGACTCACCCCGGAAGGGTGACGCCTGCTCTGCTTAGCTGGACCCTGGAGCCCTGACGTGGTGCAAGACCCGGATGTGGGACACAGCAGCCTGGCTTCAAGCCCAGCTCTTCCACTTACTGCTGAGCCCGCTTTCCGAGCCCACAGCTTCTTCAACCAGAAAGTGAAGGGACTAATTTATTAAATGTTTCCAAGGGCTTTGTGAGGATCAAATGGAACAATTCCTGAGCCCAGTCCATGCCTGGCTCTCCAGAAATCTGCACTTCCTTCCCCACCTCCTGTTCTGTCTGCTGAAATGCCCTGGCGTAGTCTGGGGTGTTAGATCCCAGCAAGGGAACTGACAATGGCAGATTTAAGAAGAAAATGAATTTATTGAAAAGATGTCCAGTAGCTTCCACTTTTCAGGAAGGTTATTGGAAAATAGGATAGGCTTGGAAACTGGGTGGAGGGAAGGTAGACTTTGTAGTCAGGAGCATGGGCACAATCAGGTCACAGAACTGGAACCCAGGGGCCCTCCTGCCCCACCACAGAGGGTGCTGCCAGGTCCACCAGCGCCCCCACTGGGACTGGCCCCCTCCCACGGCCTAGAGAGAGGTCCTGCTTGTCCCACTTCCTTGACCCGCCTCGGGTGGGTCAGCTGAGATGTAAGGGCCGGGGTGGCCCAGCCTGGGGCACAGCCAGCCTTGCCTAGCAAGCAAGTAGCTGCACTTTTCTGTTCCTTTAGAGGAAAACATGCTGTGCCTCCCACAAGACTCAAAGTATCGGGAATCCTCATCCTTCTAGCAAGCCGCTGTGATGCTGACTGACCAATGTCCCCCAGGTCCTCCACCTCCAGGTCCTCTCCTCCACGGCACCTGTCCTGTGCTGCCAACAAGCAGAAGCTCCCTCCTGCCCCCGAGCCTTCACCCCTTCACTCCCGAAGAGGCCGCTCCCCAGAGGGCAACCAGAGCATGGGCCCCAGGAGGGCAGGGCTCCTAGGCCCAGAGGTTCTGGCCACAGGTGCCCTGTCACCATCCCCTCTTCCCCAGTTTATAGCAGAACCCCATTAATATGGTGAGCACGAGCTGATAGCCAAAGATTAATTGGTGGGGGATCGGGAGATGTCTCCTCTAGAACAATGGGCTCTTCTGCTTGTACTAATAAGATGCCAGTCA